CAAAGAAATGAGCACGAAAAAGAAATAAAAGGCATAGATTGGAAAAGAAGAAGTAAAACTATCCCTACTTGCAGATGACCTGATCTTATATATAGAATACCCTAAATAGGGTGGGGGACTGTGGCTCACGCCTGTAATCCCAGCACTTTGGGAGGCCGAGATGGGTGGATCACCTGAGGTCAGGAGTTCGAGACCAGCTTGACCAACATGGTGAAATTCTGTCTCTACTAAAAATACAAAAATTAGTTGGGCGTGGTTGCGTGCACCTGTAGTCCCAGGTACTTGGGAGGCTGAGGCAGGAGAACTCCTTCAACCCAGGAGGCAGAGGTTGCAGTGAGCCGGGATTGCGCCATTGCACTCCAGCCTGGGCAACAGAGCGAGACTCTGTCTCAAAAAACAGAAAAAGGAAAATCCCCAAATTATTAATGTTAATAAATCGGTTCAGCAAGGCAGCAGGATATATGATCCATATGTAAAAATCAGTGTATTTCCATACATTAGCAGTGACTACTCTAAAAATCACATTATAAGGCCAGGCGCGGTGGCTCACGCCTGTAATCCCAGCACTTTGGGAGGCCGAGGCGGGTGGATCACAAGGTCAGGAGATCGAGACCACAGTGAAACCCCATCTCTACTAAAAATACAAAAAATGAGCCGGGCACGGTGGCGGGCGCCTGTAGTCCCAGCTACTCGGGAGGCTGGGGAAGGAGAATGGCGTGAACCCAGGAGGCGGAGCTTGCAGTGAGCCAGGATCGCACCACTGCACTCCGGCTTGGGCGACAGAGCGAGACTCCGTCTCAAAAAAAAAAAAAAATGACATTATAAAGCAATTCCATTGATAATAGCTTAAAAAGAATAAAATACTTAGGAATAAATTTAATCAAAAAACTCCAAGTTACATACTAAAAACTATAAAACTATTGAAAGACATTAAGCAAGATCTAAATAAATGGAAATATATCTCACGTTCATGGTTTGGATGACTTACTATTATTGTTAAGATTGCAAATTTCCCAACTGAATCTGCAAATTTGATGTAATCCTTATCAAAATTCCAATGCCCTTTTTTTTTTTTTTCCAGAAGTGGACTAACTGATCCCAAAATTCATATGGAATTATGAAGGATACAGAATAGCCAAATCAATCTTGAAAAAGAACAACAAAGTTGGAGGACTCATACTTCCTGATTTCAAACTTAAAATTAAAATGTTTTTTGATCTTAGAAACTTACAGTAATGAAGACTGCATGGTAGTGGCATAAACACATATATATAGATAGACAAATGGAATTTATCTGGGCATTCTGAAATACATATATACATTTATGATCACTTGATTTTTAACAGAGGTGTCAAGTCTGTTCAATAAATGAAAAAATAGTTGTTTCAGCAAATGGTAGGGACTAGATGCATTGTTTTACATGTGGGTATCTGTTTACATATGGGTATAACCAGTAACTGGTTATATACATGCAGAAGAATGAATCTAGTCCCTACCCTTGAACCATGTACAAAAATTAACTCAAAATGGAAGACCTAAATGAAAGAGTTAATACTATAAAACTCTTAGAAACGTAGATAAAAACCTGTGTTTCCATGGATTACAAGTTTCTTGGATATGACATCAAAAGGACAATCAAAGAAAAAAATAGGTAAATTGAATCTTGAAAATATTATGCTAAATGAAAGCCAGACACAAAATTGTATGACTCCATTTATATGAAATGTTCAGAAGAACATCTATAAAGACAGAAAGTAGATTAGTGATTTCTAGGGGGTGGGGGAGAGGAGGATATTGAGACTAACTGCTAATAGGTATGGGGTTTCTTTTGGGGGTGAGAGAAATGTTCTAGAATTGGAGAGATTAGGTTAGGCAATGGGAATAATCTGACTTAGAAGTGTCTTACTGCCAGGCATGGTGGCTCACACTTGTAATCCCAAGACTTTGGCAGGCCGAGATGGGCGGATTGCTTGAGCTCGGGAGTTTGATACCAGCCTGGACAACATGGTGAAACTAAAAAAAACAAAAAACAAAAAATTAGCTGGGCATAGAGGCCCGTGCCTGTAGTCCCAGCTACCCAGAAGGCTGAGGAGAGACGACTGCTTGAGTCCAGAAGGTTGAGGTTGCAGTGAGCTGTGATCACACCACTGTACTCCAGCCTGAGCAATAGAGTGAGACTCTGTCTCAGGAAAAAAAAAAAAAAAAAAAAAAAAGGTGTCTTACTAATAATAGTAATGGAGTACTCTTGACTGGGTATCTATATATAAATCGGCAAACCTCCTCAACAAAACCTGCACCACTACTCCTCTGGCAGGACGCCTATTGAGCTGGCCTTGGTAAGAAGCATGCTCTTCTCTTCCTAACCATAGCATCTTCTATTCTCTCTCTGAAGTGGCCAGAAGAAGACTGGGTCAAGCTGGCTTGGTATATGGCCAGGTAGCCAGTTGTCCATATAAATTCATCTGGACTGCCATTGGCAACAGTTTGTAATATATAATTCATCTTCATTCCTTAAAATCCATCTAGGAACAATGGTTGGAGAGTAACAACTCAAGCAGCCCAAATACTGTAGATGATTATAAATTGGAACTTTCTTCAGCTCCTTACAACACCCAACAACTTGCGAGGTTCAGCAAATTGTGGTACTGGCAGTATACATTCTGTATATTAAAGAAAGAACACAGGGTATGGTCCATATCTCTGCTTGCCCCATTAGAAGAGGTGTATTAGTCTGTTTTCATGCTGCTGATAAAGACATACCCAAGACGGGGAAGAAAAAGAGGTTTAATTGCACTTACAGTTCCACATGGCTGGGAAGCCCTCAGAATCATGGCGGGAGGCAAAAGACACTTCTTACATGGCAGTGGCAAGAGAAAATGAGCAAGATGGAAAAGTGGAAACTCCTGATAAAACCATCAGGTCTAATGAGCCTTATTCACTACCACAAGGACAGCATGGGGGAAACCGCCCCCATGATCCAAATTATCTCCCACCAGGTCCCTCCCACAACACGTGGGAATTACGGGAGTACAATTTAAGATGAGATTTGGGTGAAGACACAGTCAAACCATATCAAGACACATAAGAAAATGGCATTTGAGCCTTGCCCAAACATCATGAAGCATTAATCTCCACAAAGATCTGCAGCTGCATTAGGACCACTGGGAGTTAGGAGTTCCAAGTATCTCTGGATATGGCCACTGCTTAGGACAAACAGGCTCCACTTCAACCAACTGGCATATAAGGGCCATCTCTTTCCCTTAGAAACCAGTCTTCCTCCTTTAGCAACATACTGGTAAGGCAAAATGACCACAAATTTACTACTAGTTCCACTATAGCTTCACAACAATTAAGAACTCCTAAAATTGTAGGTATATATTTTGAATGTCCAATTTCCTTTTGCATGGGCTAAGGCAGCCTCAATGGGGTCATGGGCCATGTGGGTATATAACCGGAAGCCAAGTTGCTTCAGGGCTAAGTTGTTAGTAGAGTAGATGAAGTGTGTATGTAGCCACGGAGAGAAGCCCAGACTTAACACCAGAACAGAACAAAAGCTGTTAGCTCTAAGATGCAAATATAGAGCTTTAAACATATAAGGTAAGAGGAAAAAGCTGAAAATACCAGAAACTGGTCAGGAAATAGAAAGGCCCAAGCTAGTATGCTAGAAACCTCCTTCAGGCGGATGTGGTCATGTGGTACCAAGTTAAATCAATCGGTACTACTAAATCAGTTGGTACAAGCTTAAATCAATTTAAGTTCTGTTGAAAGGTACAGGACTGGGCCAAACATAACAACGTATTTTTCTAATACAGGATATCAGCTGTGACACTGGCTAGCTTGACACATCTTCATCTGAAGAAAAAATACATAGAAACCCTGCTATGATGACAATTTACTTCATGAAGAGAATGGGTTCTGAAACGGTCATTCTTTTCCATTTAAACAAAGTTACCATCTCCCAAAGAACAGCTTTGGGGCAGGAAAGAACAGTATTTCATTTCAAGCTGGACTACTCATCTACCAAAATACCATTCTGACCAAAGAAACAGATGCAGAATTATAGTCACAGCTGCATTCTGCACAGAACAAGTTGGATAATGGTATTCTAAATTGCTAATTATACTGTTAATGATTTTTTTAGTGTCATTGCAGTACTTTGCCACCTTTGTTTAAAAATTTTTAAAAAGCATGTAGCAAGTTTTCTAAATGGTAAATTTCTGTTTTGTTAAATACCAGTGAGTCTTCCAAAGAAAAATTCCATATAAAACCCATTTATTGAAATGGCATTCATATGTGAATTTGGAGGAGCCTATTTATTGACTAGCTATTTGTTTTAATTTACTTTCTCACCAATTTACCTGCATTTAAGATTACTGAGGTCATAAGTATCTCAGTATTAGTGTTTCTATCTAGATCCATAGTTGGTATGAAAAAATAATAAAGTAACATATGTCATGATATGCTGGCACTGGGAATGTGCTACAACTCAATTTACAAAAAGTAATGGCAACAGTACAATTTAATTTTCATTGTGATAACCGTGGTGCTATTTATTACAGTGTTAGTATTATGCTGTTTAATCCATGCCAGCATAGCTGAGGAAGGTAATTACATTTTTGATATAAAAATGCTACTAATGTTTTCATTTCATTTTAGCAGATTATAGTATGCAGATTAAAAGTACTGTCATTGTCCTATATTATTTCTTGTACATTTAAGTGGCAGACTATTTTTTTCCACAAATAGTGAATTAATTTCTACTAAATTATTTCATTAAGGTTTTTAAATAATTAATTTGCTTCTTAACTAAACACCTCAAGCAGGCCAGAAACTTCCACATATTAGATTTACAAAAACTAAAATATCTTATATGCAGAAAATGGTGTACCAATCACAATTACATCACATCGTGTCTTGATAATTTTAATATTTAACAAGGTAAATTAGTAGTTAAAAATTGAAAACCAATCTTATGCAATGACTTTTAAGCAAATACTTACATTTTCTTCTAACAGATCATCCAATTTCAGTGATCTTTTAACACTACAAACAAAAAATTTAAAGAAATTTTAGATTGGACATGCTTTATTTAAAGTAGCCCAATAATTAAGGGAAAGATATATAAACGAAGATTCTAAGTTAGTTCTGCCAACCCATTTTTATATTATTTATTAAAGCAGAATACCATATGAAGAAAGCAATTATTTATGATGACAGGTTTGATTCTAATTGCATATCTCTAAATGGGATCATAATTAAATATTTAAATGAGTTACTTTAAAAAATATATGCAGTTATATATACAAGGACTACCGTACAATTTAAACATCTGTCATATTATAAAAGGTCTTATAAAAGTTAGTATGTTTGTCTGCTTTAAAATACCACTATTACAATATCATATATAAGAGCAAAATAATTTATACACTTTCAGTGGAGATGTTGAAAGTATAGTACAGAAACAGTGCACTAGGTGTTAAAGGTATGAGCATGGTGAAAAAAAGTTTTGCACATTATTCTAGCTTTAAACATGATTCAGTGCAACCAGACTATGACTTAACTGAGGAACAGATGCTCTATGTCTTTATAAGTCCCCAATCCATAAGAAACTATTTTTTGTTTCCTTCACTAAACTGATTCAGGAATATGCCAGGCTCTCTGTGTGCAAAATCTGTTCTGCTAAACTGGATGCCCAGCTGTTGGTGACAATGCTTAGAAAGGGAAGTGGAATATTTATAATACTTTATTTCATACAGCTGTCTTCTAAAGAGCAGTCATCAACATTTTATTGAATGCAGACTAAATGTTCAAAGGAGAAAAAGGTCAATATAAATTAAAACTAGTTTTCTCAGTGACAAACGCAGTGTTAAAAGTATTTTCTTGATTCTTGAGAAATAGAATTAAAATATTAAAGAATTAAGTGCATAAAGCAAAAAGATTGTACTATATTGTATTACAGAAATCCCCCAAAAGTTTGTATTGATCTTAGAAAATGACTATTCATACATAACTATTGATTTACAAAGGACAGGAATAAGAAAAAATAGAAGGGATGGTCAATCTAAGAAAATCATTGAACAGTAAATATTAAGTACAAAAACAATCTATCTAAAAGGAGATTATTTTGCTACTATATCCACATTAGCTTATCATAACATTATTTCTTGAGATTAAATTGGTTTAAAGAATTATTTATGCTTTTAGAAATCCACTTAATATCAATTTAATCTGATTTCCCAATGAGTCAAGAAGAAAACAGAGGTACAAACAAATTAAAATGCAGATAATTTTTAAAAATTTTTATTTAGCTTTGGAATACATATTGCCGTATTTGGGTATGTAAGACGTTCTGGTATTTATAACACTTCAAAAATAGAAATTAGGCCAGGCGTGGTGGCTCACGCCTGTAATCCCAGCACTTTGGAAGGCTGAGGTGGATCACCTGACGTCAGGAGTTCGAGACCAGCCTAACATAGTGAAACACCGTCTGTACTAAAAGTACAAAATAATTAGCCTGGTGTGGTGGTGCATGCCTGTAATCCCAGCTACTCCCAAGGCTGAGGCAGGAGAATCGCTTGAACCAGGGAGGCAGAGGTTGCAGTGAACCAAAATAGTGCCATTGCACTCCAGACTGGGCAACAGGAGCAAAACTGTCTCCAAAAAAGAAAAAAAAAAAAAGAAATTAAAAAACTAAAGTTAAACAGTACAGCATTTCTTACCCTTGGTTCTAAATGCTATTAAGATGCAACACTATACTTCAGAAGGAGACAAATTCCATCCTGCTATTAACTGTTCAAAATATTGCTTTATTATCAATGGGTAATTCTTAGGGAAAGTAACTAAATGTTTGCTTTTAAAAAGTTTACAGATTAGGCCCCAGGTTGATCTAAGAAACCCAAGGAAATAAGTAAAAAATAGAAAACAAGAAAGTAAGCTGAGTTAAAACAGGCTGTCATCTCCCACTTTATGTTTGGTGACAATCTAAAAATATTATTTGAGGGTAGTGTAGTATTAAGATAAATCAGACATCTAATAACCAAAAGTTATAATACTTAAAATAATCCTTAAAAGATATAATAGACAAGACTAGAAGAAATCTAAGAAATCACTTAGTTCAGCCAATAGGGAAAATAGTTTGTGCAACTTGCCACCTGTCACACATCTTGAGGGAGAGAAACTCAGATCTCAGGTCCTGTGCGTAATAAATCTTTATTGAGTTGAGGGGAAGGGAATTAAAGAAGGGGAAAGAAGAGCAAATCCACTACAGAGTTTATGACCATCTATTCTTAACATTTAATTACAACTGGGCCCAACCACTCTTTTACAACTAACACAATCATAAGAATATACTAAATTGATTAGTTTACTGTTAGTAGGAATAGAGGAGACGGATGAAACACATGAAGGAAAAATAGGTAAAATTTGATTAGATATATGGGATATTTTCCTAAAATATTTACTCTTTTGTTACTAGTATTAGCTAACAAAAGTGGTATCTTTCTGGTAGTTCTGTAAAGTTGTAAAGCAGCTCCTGTGGCTACTATCTTGATTTAAAAAAGTGGGCACACAAAATTGGACAAAGGACTTGAATATACATTTCTCCAAAGAGATATACTAATGACCAATAAGCACATGAAAAGATGCTCAACATCTCTAATCACTAGGGAAATGCAAATCAGAACCACAATGAAATATTACTTCACAACCTATTAGGATGGCTACTACTTAAAAAAAAAAAAAAGTGTTGGTGAGGATGTAGAGAAACCAGAATCCCTGTGCACTGCTGGTGGGAATGTAAAATGGTTCAGCAGCTATGGAAAACAGTATGGCAATTCCTCAAAGAATTAAAAATAGAATTACCATATGATTCCATGATTCCACTTCCAAAAATAATTGAAAGCTGGGACACAAACAGATATTTGTACACCAATGTTTATAGCAGCATTGCTCACAATAGCCAAAAAGTAGAAAAGCAACCCAAATATCTACTGACAGATGAACAGATAAACAAAATGTGATATATACATAAAACAAAACCTTATTCAGCTTTAAAAACAAGAAATGAAATTTGACATGTGCTACAACATGGATGAACCTTGAAGACATTATGCTAAGTAAAATAAGCCAGTCACAAAAGGACAAATATTGTATGATTCCAAACATAGGAGAGCAGTCAAATTCATGAAGACAAAAAATAGAATGGTGGTTGCAGGGGCTAGAAGGAGTGAGGAATGGGAAATTACTGTTTAATGGATACAGAGTTTCAGTTTTACAAGATGAAAAAAATTCTAGAGATGAATGGTGGTGATGGTTGCACAACAAGGTAAATATTCTCAATGTCACTGAATTGGACACCTAGAAAATGATTGAAATAGTAAATTTTGTTATGTATAATTTAGCACAATTTAAAAATAGATAATTATTTAAAAGATATCTATCTATTGTGTCCTAATTACCTCCCTCTTACAGGTAACATCTCTGTGGGTGACTTCTAACTTCCAACTTACCCAAATTTCCACCTATGCCCATAATTTACAAGTTATATTCTATTTCTAGGAATACTAGGTTTAGATTCACTGGGATCAAAATTCTGGTTGCTACCAGAATTACTGCTGTTGAGAATTTTAAAAAATATAAAACATTTGACATGCAATTTTACATATAGAGTAACTATGTCTGTATAATTATATTATTCTCTAAGACTGTCCTCCTGTTTTTTATTTAGCTTAACACATGGTAGTATCCTGAATAGGATTATCTGGTTCATCAGAACAGAACAAGTAGATGAGTTTTATTATACAATGTTATTGACTAACATAAGTTACAATATTAAAGACATTATTCTAGGAAAAAAAACCCCTATCATTTGATTCCTAATAAAAAACCAGGAATGACACTCAGAAGATCACAAAATTATATGATTTGAGGTTCTCTTATAGAACTTTTAAAACATTAGTTTAAATACAATTTTGAATAGCAGGACTGAGGGGAGGAATGGGGGGGTAAAGAATAAGCTTAGTAAAGTGGTTAAGACTCAGGGAGCCTTCATACTACGCCAAATTCTTCCCTAAGGTTGGGCAAATCACATAATCTCACTAAGCTTCATAAAGTTGACAGTAACACTGGCCTGTAAAGTAGTAAGAAATTTCTGAGTGGAAGATAAAAATATCACTGAGTATTTCAGTGCTTCCATTTACTCCACACTATAATAGAGATGATAATATTGCCAGCTACAACTTCACAGGAGTGGTTAGAGGATTACTGAGTATGCTTGTGAGATTCTTAGAAATCCTTTGATGAAAGGCAATGGCCAAATTCATATCCCATGTGACTCCTTAAATGTAAACTGAGATATGTGAAATGATTTATTTTCCATTCTATGTATGGGAATGAGCAAAGAAGGGAGAAGAATCTATTATCCTTTCTGCATTCTCCTTTTCATTCAAGCCTATGCTTTTTGTGTTCAAATTAATAACAGTAATAGCCACTAATACTGTTATTAATCATTCATTTAGATGCTTTCATATTGACAATATTGTTATTAAGTACTGTCACATACATACATAGAAAGGAAGGACATAAGTATGTCCTTTGTAAGAGTCTCTATTGAAAGCACTCAGGTCTATCAGAATTAAAAATGGTAGATGGGTGATAGACATTTTTCTGTACAAATTTTATTTCACAACATAAACATAATAACAAAAAACTAACAATGATATCTACCACACCTTTGAGATTCCAACAGAATCATCTCTAAGAAGTTTCTACTGACACTGTCCTGTTTGCACTAGGGAAGCTTCAACTCTACTAAACAGCACTTGTGCATGACCCTCTCACCAAACTTATGTTGAAAGTATTCATGTTTGTTTTTCTTCCCCAGACTAAGATGTTTATATCGTTAGCACCATGTCTACTAACTGGTAGGTTATAAGTTCTAAAAATGTTTGAACTATCTCTTCCATTAAAGTTAAAACTCCTAGATAGCACAGTATCTATTAATATTTGAATCCCCAAAGCCTGATACAGTGATTGGCATACAAGTG